GTACTATTTTGTTTTTTTGTTTTTCTGAAATAGTTGGTGAAAAAAATCGGCAGTGTAAGAGCGGGTGGGTCATTAGAATGTTAATATAGTTCAGGGGCGTGAAAAATGTGCCGTTTATGAGCCTTGGGGGTGGGGGAGGGTGGGGGGGTGAGGGAACTAATTGAGATTCTTATGAAGTGCGTTATTTGTACGCATGCTTTGTCAAATTTATGCTACACCAACTGCCCCCTTTCTGTTGCGAAAGGGACATCAGGATTAGATAACGCTCTTAATAAGCACAAATAATGATTATCTAGGTATGTGTGTGCGAGAGCGTGCGTAAGTGTGTGTGCATGCGTGTGTGTGAATGCTGTGTGTGCACGCGTGTGTGCATGATTGTGTGTGCGTGCGTGCGCCTGTGCAAGTGTGTGTGTATGTAAATGCATATGTATGTACGTATGTATGTATGTACGTATGTATGTATGTACGTATGTATGTATGTATGTATGTTGCACTCATTCACTCTCTCGCACTCAATCGTTAAAGCACGTACGCACATATGTATGTTGTTATGTATGTATGGACGTATGTATGTATGTATGTATTTAACGCTCTGTTTAATAGAGCGAGCTAAAATACTATTGCCCGAAAGTTCACTAAACGGCATGGAATGTTAAAGCACGTACGCACATATGTATGTTGTTATGTATGTATGGACGTATGTATGTATGTATGTATTTAACGCTCTGTTTAATAGAGCGAGCTAAAATACTATTGCCCGAAAGTTCACTAAACGGCATGGAATGTTAAAGCACGTACGCACATATGTATGTTGTTATGTATGTATGGACGTATGTATGTATGTATGTATTTAACGCTCTGTTTAATAGAGCGAGCTAAAAAACTATTGCCCGAAAGTTCACTAAACGGCATGGAATGTAAATTTGTGTTCAATAACCGCGCAAGACACAGTTCCTATCTCTAAATGGGATTCTTAAAAACCCTTTTTCTAGAAAGCATCCTTTGTTTTATTCACGGAGTTCGAAACTATTTTATATCTGACTTCGTATCCATGGCGTTCTTTGAAGCTATGTTTCGTCATGTACCTTAAGTAGATGACAGGGAGGTCAACGCAGGCAGCGAAAGGAAGCAGTTCCTTTAAATCTGAGTCTTTTTTTATACATATATATTTGAGGGCCCATGATCAATTTATCGATGATTATGGCTCCTGGTTCGAATTCAGAGTTCGCCTTCTCTTAGGGTGAGTTGCCGTCCAAGGCGTACGAGTCCCATCTACCCGATGGCGAGGGATACAATTTGAACTTTTCGCGAATTTTCCCTGAGTCAATCTTCCCGCTTTGATTAAATGATTTGACCTTTCATTTTGGTGTCTGCCTGGGTGGTGTACACAGATGAAACTTTTGTGCAGTCAATTCAGATCAACACATTTCAATCTAGAGAAACTAAACACCTCTCACGCGAGCCATTTCAAATGCACCCATTTTATTGTAAATAAAAAAAAAAAAACCAACAGTTTACTGTAGCGAATTGAACATTCAAAATGAAATATTAATCTAATACATCATATTCATTAAATCGTATATACATATCATTGTAAAAAAATGTATACACATTAAGTGCCAATATTTACAATAATTTAGCAGCGCGCGTACAGGTGTCTTTAATTACAAACAACAAAATTGCTGCACGTGGAACACTTCATGGGCCTGTGGGATACAATTTAGAGGACCCCTTCTTTTTTATTACCCCGATCTAGGAAATTAGGGATCTATTTTAAAACACAATCAAACGACAAAAAAAAAATAATACAAGTTACACATTGACAACAGGCAATTTGGGACTAAATACTTCGAATAAGTGATCCTCTTCCCACTGAGGGCCAACTAAAAAATGTGCCCATCGAATACATTTTATACCGTATCTATACTAGTAAGATATAACGTTTCAAAATGTATACACCCCACTACATAACACAGATATTTTGGTGTAAGTCTTGAGCTTACGATCTTAAACCCCCAGCTAGTGCAGTTGCTACCTGCTAGTGCAGTTGCTACCTGCTAGCGCAGTAGCTACCTGCTAGTGCAGTAGCTACCTGCTAGTGCAGTAGCTACCTTCTAGTGCAGTTGCTACCTGCTAGTGCAGTTGCTACCTGCTAGTGCAGTTGCTACCTGCTAGTGCAGTTGCTACCTTCTAGTGCAGCTGCTACATGCTAGTGCAGTGGCAACCTGCTCCGTCTCTTGGGCAGTGCCATATAACACTGTCTGGACGTAGGACCCTCCTGCCGCCCTGGTCTCCCGCAGCATCACCCACTGCGAGGTAACAGACGCGCTACTGTCTCCGGGGGCTAGCGTGCAATGCCGGCCGACCGGGTCCTTGTTGTCTAGCGTGTTGAATTATGAGCTAGTACCGCAGCGCTCAGTTCGCATTTGGGTCAGCAGACTCTTAGGCGTCGGTGATCCAGCTACAAGAGACCATAGCGGCCACGCGTCTGCTGTCGGAATAGTAACTGGACGCAGCTGAGCGCTCACTATTGCTAACTGGGGCTCACGCATACGTCCGAATTCCAAGACGAAGGTGAGCGTTGCTTACTTAGCTCCCTCGGGGTGAAGGTACAGAAATTAGAGTCCAGTTGATTCTTAACATAACTATAGTACCACATCTAATGAGAACAGATCAGTTAGGAAATCTTTTACCACATCTACTGAGAACAGATCAGTTAGGAAATCTTATACCACATCTACCGAGAACAGATCAGTTAGGAAATCTTATACCACATCTACTGAGAACAGATCAGTTAGGAAATCTTATACCACATCTACTGAGAACAGATCAGTTAAGAATTCGTTTACCACAAAAGCAAGAGCAGATAAATTAGCAATTTTTAAACAATATTTCCTATTTTGAACTGTCCTATAAGTAATGAGTAGGTTATAAATGTTCGTTCCACGACCAAGCCCATTAGACAACCATGCCATATTTAGACGACCATGCCATATTTAGACGACCATGCCATTTAGACACTCAGGCCTTTTGACCTCGAAAATGTCTGGCAAGGTTGGGGACAAAGCTCCGGCAGTATATTTAAACAAAAACTTTGCACACACGTATTTTTTGTGACTTCAACTAGATTTATTAGTACATACAAAAAACAAAAAACACTGGTGTTTTTATTTTATATACATATACATACATTATATATAGAATGAAAAAATGGAATAAGATGGCATTGTGCTTGACATTAAAAGACAGAACACTGCTTGCTCCCAAATCTACACGCTTATAGTATAGAAGAAGCTTCAGGATCTAGTAACATCAAAACTTTGCTTCACTCAATAGAAAACTTCAATAAATAATAATATCAATTGAGCTCAAATAATATCATTTTAAACAAATGGAATGTTTTTAATTACAAAAGGAAATCAACAATATTTTTTTTAAAAATATATCTTTCTGGATGTGGGTAGGGGATTGTCAAATAATATTTAAAATTATTTCATGATCTCGTTTCCAGGTCGAAAAAGATTTAAATGTTTCAGGGGCGAATTTTTCAAATATATTTTGTGGATTATTATAATTGGAATTGAAGAGTTCAATGTAGTTTATCCGTCTACAGATTCATTTCTCATTCAACATAAGATATAACATAAAGAAAAGCTTTTTTTAATTTTTTTTTTTAAAAATGCACATGGAATACAATTAAAGAGATTAAAACAAACAAAAATTCCCCAAAAGCTTTTTAAAAAAAATAAAATAAAATAAACATTCAACATTCTTTTGCATACTCTTGGTTATTTTCTGTAGCAACACCATGAACTTCTAAAGAATTTGTTTCCCTTTAATTGGCCACTAATAACAACCCATAGGTGTATTAGGTTTTTTTACTTTTCATCTTTTGGGGGCGGGGGGTGTTGGGGTAATCGGATTTTCACGCCCCCCCCCCCCGGTAGGTTGAACAGCGTACAGTACCCTACAGCATGTCCGTAATGTTGGACTTCATCTCACCGCCCACAGTGTGGAATCGGCCACTTCATCCACAATATGAATTGCTGTTTAAAGGAGCTCAAACACCAACATTAAGATATGTTTTGTAATAATTTCTTCATATATATACACACCTTCAAACACACACACACACACACACACACACACACACACATATATATAATATACATACATATAATACAATATATATTTATAATATATATATTGATGTATATATACATACATACATATGTATATGTGTTTATATATTTATACACACATATATATATATGTGTGTGTGTGTGTTACCGGCAATGTATGAAATCCGGAATTGTATATAATGCCTAGGAATTATATAGAATGCCTGAAATTCGCAGGCAAAGTATGAAATGGTTTTTTTATGTCACACATTTCTTAGGCATTCTATACCATGCCGAAGAGCAATCCGGCAATGTATAGAATACCCCGCCATTCAAGTTAGATTCTTTGCTCGGCGGTCCCTTACCCCCTGGGACGTTTTGCAAGACATTCAGACAGGAAGAGATCGAAAAACATAATAGGAAGCGTACTAACAACACAGCCTGGAGGAAGCAAATCAGCGGATGCAGGATACAGGGCCCACTACACAGGATACTGAAGAGAGTGAAACCAACAATGGAGAAAACCAAACTGATTGTGACGGCACGGCTACCGAAGATCCTGCCACTTCTGCTGTTTGCCTCTGCTTAAAAAGAAAGCAGCTGTGGCCCGTACAAGCCAAAACTGTCGCCCCGCAATGTTAATGTTAACTGTCGGAGTGCCGCTTAAGAAGATGGAGACGAGGAAATATAAGGTTATGGTGTTGGTGTTTTGTCCAGCCCGTGTTTCAAGATTAAGAGAGCTGTGGAATAAAGCTAGAAAAGGATCTGAATCGAACCTTGAAATCCAGACCACAAAAAAAAAAAAAAAAAAAAAAAAAAAAGAAAAAAAAGGAAAAAAAATAAAAAAAGAACAGAAAAAAAACTTAAAACCCAAACAAAAAAAAAAAAAAAAAAAAAAAAAAAAATGAAAATAAGCTCTTTAGGAGCCACTGTGCGAGTTTCTATTCCTGACATTGATAAGGAATGGGGTGATTCGCGCAATCTGTTGGCAGTTATTATGACAGTGACAGAAGACAGCTTTTACCGATTTGGGACGGCACAATGTATCTTGAAACAACTGTGTGCGAGATCACAGTTCGATGCATGTCCAAAGGACTTATTGAGAGTTGAAGACGTCCCTGACCATGAAATACCTCTCCGATCTGCTGCTATCTCTCAGTCAACAGGAAGCGGTCATGGATTCGTGAGGTGCATGGGCAAGGGCAAGAGCAAATGCCAAAACATGGTGTCGTTGTATGAAATAGAAAATCAATTGCAATTCAAAATGCCTTACTTGCTGCAACAAGTAGATCGATGCCACCTTTGCTTGCCTTACTTGCTGCAACAAGTAGGTCGTTGCCACCTTTGCTTGCCTTACTTGCTGCAACAAGTAGGTCGTTGCCACCTTTGCTTGCCTTACTTGCTGCAACAAGTAGGTCGTTGCCACCTTTGCTTGCCTTACTTGCTGCAACAAGTAGGTCGTTGCCACCTTTGCTTGCCTTACTTGCTGCAACAAGTAGGTCGTTGCCACCTTTGCTTTCAGGGCTCGATGTTAAGAATATCCTTTACTAATTACATATTTCTTCTTTTGTTTTCAAATGTATCTTTATAATAAAATTTTTTTCATCACGCTCCTTTGAAACTTTGCCTGAAGTATATTTGTCATTATGTATAATATGGAGGCAATATATAAAATGCCTAGGCAAAGTATGTAACATAATCACGAAAATCAAATATTTCATACTTTGCCTAAAAGCTTCCGGCATTCTATATAATACCTGGGCATTCTATACTATGCCACATTGCCGGTAACATATGCATATATATATATATTCCTTTTTTTTGTTAAATTGATGAAGATCTGATACTAGGATCAGATCATCGTTTGAGATAGTGGACCTCGTAACACGCCGTCCTGGCTATGGGGTAACCGTTGATGTTGGTGGCGCATGCGTAGTTCTTGTGCACGTAGAACTTCTTAAATCCCGCCTTCTCGATGGCCTGCATGACCTTCAACCTGGGCAGCAGATAGTCGCGGGCGGATGACGTCACGTGGTACTCAATCAGCAGCTGGCGGACGTTGTTCAGCTCCCCGGCTTCGATCATTTGCGGGACCGAAGCCCATTCGGAGCTCTCTATGTCCATTTTGATGACGTCAATCGGAGTCTTTTCGTGGCCGAGTAGCTTTCGGATGTCTGACAAAGTGTGGAGCTGCCATTTTTTGTCATTTTTGTACGAACTTCCGTCGATTCCTATTTTGTAGAAATGTATAAATTCTGATCTGTGGAGCAAAAAAAAAAAAAAAATAAATAAAAATAAAAATTTGCCGAAATTGATGCAGAGAAACTGATTATTATAAAACATCGCATTATTTATAATTAAACATTAAGAACTAGAAAATATGACCCGGTGGTAGCGGGATAATATTGACAGGCATATTGTGCTTCTTTCTACATGCCATTGCGAAGTCGCAATATCAAAAAATACATTTTTACGCATGCAACTGAATCAAGCTTTGGCGTATTGTAACTTCGTAATTTTTAAAAAAAAAATAAAAATTTCCAAGTCACTGAATTATAAATTTAGGAAATATTTATGCTTAGATTTTTTTTTACATTGCTAACATCATTGCATTTTGATTAAAGTTTTATCTTTCTTGTAACATAGCCCTACCCAACCCTCTTACTCGCCCGCGCCTGAATTACAAGAAAAACATATTTTCTAAAAATTGTGAAAACTTTTTAAAAAATGAGGAGGGCACGCAAGGTGAAATAATTGATTTTTTTTCTTTCATGCATGCAACGTGGTCTAAGCGAAATTTTTCTGACTCAGACAACCTCCCACCCCCACCCCCACCCAAAAAGAAAAAAAAAGAAAAACAGAAACAACAAAACAAGAAAAAAAAAAACAAACCAAAAGAACAATTAAAAGTTATTGCCTGTTATATTTCTGTTCTGCTTTCTCCATACTGGGGTCAAACGAGTACACGTGACAGCCGTACAATTTGGAGGCGTCGTCGTCAAACGAGAAGTCGTAGTTGATACCAAAAGAGTAGATGATGCAAGGGGATCGGGGTCTGATGTCGGGATCATCACAAATCTCCCAGCCTCCGTCAGCGATTTTTCCCATGCGGAATTTTCGGCGACATAAAACCTGCAAATGGACAGCGGAAATTGTTTGGTAAAGTCATTTGAATTTTTTATTTTTTTATTTTTTTTTATGCACGTGGAAGTTCAGGGCATTCGTTAAATGTGAAGCATTAAGCAATATGAGAGTCGAATTATGTTTGACGTACAAACAAAAAAAATTAGGTCATACTATAAGAGTTCTGCATGTAGTCTACTAAAGGCAGGTCTCCCGTTCACGGGGAGATTATCTTTATTTTCATGAAACGCTTTTCTTATATATATAAATATACATATATACATATATACATATATACATACATATATATACATACATATATATACATACATATATATACATACATATACATATATACACACACACACACACACACATATATATATATATATATATATATATATATATATATATATATATACATATATATATATATATATATATACATACATATATATATATACATATACATATATACACACACACACACACACATATATATATATATATATATATATATATATATATATATATATATATACATATATATACATATACATACATATACATATATATACATATATATACACATATATATATACATAATACACATATATATATACATATACATATATATATAATATATACATATATACATACATATATATACATACATATATATACATACATATATATACATACATATACATATATACACACACACACACACACATATATATATATATATATATATATATATATATATATATATATATATATATATATATATATATATATATATATATATATATATATATATACATATATATATATATAAAATACACATATATATATATATATATATATATATATATATATATATATATATATATATATATATATACACACAATATATATATATATATATACATATATATATATATAATATAAATATATATATATACATATATATATATATATATATATATATATATATATATATACACACACAATATATATATAAATATATATATATGTATATATAATAACGATTGTTAAAGTCTTCCCTATAATTTCAAGGGCAGCCACTGTTGTCCTACATACAAAACAGCGCCCTAGAGACTCACATCCGCATTATCTGGATAACTGTGGGCGGTCATGAGAAGCTCGTCGTCGGTCAGTTTATTCAAGTCCAATTTGGCCAGATCTAAGACGTATCCATTGCGCCTGACGTGTGCGAGCAAACCTGGTGTTTAACAACAAAAGAGATTTTTTTTCATTTTTTTACAGAGACCGCCGGTCTGCAACTGGACCAATGGAAAATCACGACGATGAATTTAGGGATAATTCAAAGGATTTCAGTTGCAAGGGTATGGTGCATTATTATTTATTATACGGTCAATTTTTTCAACAGCTGGACATTTTAATTATAATGCAACAATTACTAAAAGTTATTCTATTTCGTCCAATGTAAAAATTAAAAAAAAAAAAAAAAAAAAAAAAAAAAAAATTAAAAACTGGAAAGAGTTCAAATAACATGAAGAAAGTGCATCGGCCATTTAAAAAAAAAAAAAAAAGGGAACACACGGGAAAAAACGCACCTGTGCCGACATCCTCCACCAGCAGCAGTGGGTTGGGGTTAGGGTTGGGCCTGACTGGTGTAACCTTCTCTGTAATCGATAGAAATATCATATTATGGTATGGTGCACGTAGATTGTCTACATAGAGTTATCATGACTTTTGGGTCATGCATGCATTGTAAACAAACAACTCAAGGTCTAGCCTTTTTGTGATAATTAGTTGTAAAATTTTGAAGTGAATAGTAAGTATTCATCCAGGTTTATCACAAAAATTACTTGTATCAAGCTTTTTTAAAAAAATTATTATTATCACAATAATAATTGAACGTCTACTGAAAATTGAAAATGTATAATTTATTTTTTAATAGATTTCCCCACAAGATAAAAGTCACACATCAATAAATATTACCATCATCTGTTTGAAAACATAGCTGGGCCATTTTAAAAACACCATAAAATTTTTCGATTGCGTTCAATATGTAAAAATAATATTCATAGTATTTAATTTGTTAACAGGTCTTTTTTTTTATGAAAAAAATTTGAAGTTTTTTTGGTGTGTGTTGCAATTCATTTACTTATGAAGTAATTTACTTTAAAAAATAGCTTTACTAAAAGATAAATCCACATTAATATTTAGTAGGTAACAAAAAATATATATATATATTGTATTACATATCCAATTCAAGCAGATCCTTCACTTGTCTTTTCGGGGCCATCTGCCAATTTTTGGTTTTGTCCTTCCCCAACCATGTTTTCTAATTTGATAACTAACAAAGTGTGCACATCACAACATTAAGTAGTTAAAACTATTCGAACGCCCCCCCCCCCCAGCCTCCACACGCTGTCACTGGGGTTGAAGGGCTCACACGAAAGCTCTGATGTAAAGTGGCACCTACATTTTTAACTAGNTTTTAATTTTTTAAATTTTTTTTTTTGGGGGGGGGGGGGGGGGAAGCGGGGGACTGTAAGGTTTACAGGGGCGAGACTAAGCTAGGTCAAAAAGCATACCGTAAAGGGCTCCACAACTGAAATGAATTTAGTTCGTGTCGGCATGGGGCGGAGTTAGTTTCACCGGATCTTTATTATGGCTAATTTTGACGCTTCTCACAAGAAAGTCTAAAAATGTCATTTTCGCAAATAGTCTGAAAGAAACGCCAATTACAAATATACCCCAAAATGAAACCCATTATTTTGAATTTATCGATTATTTTCCAAGTTGCCCTTGTCCTCGCTTTTTGCTCGAGACTTTTCGGCACCCCGAAATTCTGCTGCCCCTTCCGTCTCGCCAAGCAATGTGACAGTGCGGGGTTGAAGATAAGCTCGGGCCAAAATGGTAACACGGGGCAGCGCCACAACCGGAGTGAATGTAGTTTATATATGGCACTGTTAGCCATAATGCCTCAACGGAATCTTGAAAAATCCCTTCCCCGGATCAAATAGGTAAATTTCATTGAGTTATAAACCAAAGTATACCTTTTAATTTTGAAGAAATAAAAGAAATTCTGGGAAAGATACCCAGCCCACCTCACTTCCCCAACATCCCGTCGCTTAAGGGCCATCGGCTTCCTCGATATCTACGGTAATTCCCGAACACAATTACATGAAATAAAACCTCTCTTCTGCCCAAGAACCATCGGTGCCCTCAATCTCTGACCCACTACCCGATAAAAATTATCGTCAATTTCGTTCCGATAGATATACTGCCTAGTGGCGTAGTGAGTACAAGTGCCGCCATTGCCAGGCAAAGATTTTTGCCGCTCCACTTTTCAAGATACTAACTCTGCAGCTGAAGTCTAACACTGAGACAGACCCGTAACAATGTCTCCTGAAGTCTAACAACGAGACAGGCCCGTAACAATTTCTCCTGAAGTCTAACACTGAGACAGACCCGTAACAATTTCTCCTGAAGTCTAACACTGAGACAGACCCGTAACAATTTCTCCTGAAGTCTAACACTGAGACAGACCCGTAACAATGTCTCCCGAAGTCTAACAACGAGACAGGCCCGTAACAATTTCTCCTGAAGTCTAACACTGAGACAGACCCGTAGCAATTTCTCCTGAAGTCTGACAACGAGACAGACACAAACAATTTCTACTTTTCTAACAACGAGACAGACCCATAACATTTCTACTAAATTCTAACAACGAGACAGGCCCATAACATTTCTACTAAATTCTAACAAGGAGACAGGCCCATAACATTTCTACTAAATTCTAACGAGACAGACCCATAACATTTCTACTAAATTCTAACGAGACAGACCCAGAAAATTTCTACTGAAGGCCAACAATGAAACAGACCCGTAACATTTCTAAAACCATGTTCGTTGAGCAGGACGTTTGGGGGCCCGTGCTATTCTATTTGTGCATCCAGCGCTCCCCCCGCCCCACAACGCCCAGCACTCACTCTTCACCTCACGCCCTAGCCTGATGCAAATACGAAAGTCCGGTTCAAATGCTATTATTGCATCCAAAAAGCATGCCATCGTTTCAACACTTGGTCACGCGTGGACCGACACATCCTGCAGTGAACGCTACGGGGATAATTTTTTTTTATAGCCGGTCTCTCCCCCCTCAGCCCCCTCCCCCCCCCCGGCCGGCGAAGTGATTCATCTTAATAGCTTGCATAATAAGATAAGCAGACGGCTTTTGTTATTTTCGTGTGTGTGCAATTTCTATATATTAACGTGTTTCGGTTCTATTAATAGAACGTGTCCTGTTGTTTTTCCTAGCATGTAAACCTGTTGTTTCGAGGGGATTTATTCCGTATCCACTAGCAAATAAATACTATGCCAAATTAATTATTTCTTCGATAGTTACGTTAAACACAGGGCTACACATTATGGAAAGGGGAGCTAAATATGTGTTGTCCTAATTTGAAAAAAAAAAATAATGTGTAAGAATGTATGTTAAAATGATAAAAAATTGACTTAAGATTATTAAAATCGGGATTGCCCACCCCCCCCCCCCCCCNGTTTTCTAATTTTGTGTTTGTTGTGATCTATTGCTAAGTTCACTAAGTGCCCCTAGGAAATGATGTGATCACAGATTTGTGAGAAGTCATTGTGTTTCATTGTGGAACAAAAAAACAAAAAACAAAACATCAAATACCAACACGACAAAATTCAACGCCATGTTGTTGTCCCGAACGCCACATTCACACATCGAGTCACCCTCGCCTATATTATGCTTTCATTGCCTGTCACCTTTCCGACCACGGTTGAAAAGAAAAATTAGTTACAGAAAAAATAAAAGTCAAACACAGTTACCTTGGCCCGGGTCTCTCCGGCCTCTTAACCCCCCCCACCGCCACCCCCTCCCCCCCGACACCCCTCTCCTGTCAGCCATCTCCAGTCAGCCACGTCATTGAGTGGTGCCATGAAGGAATAATAATTGTTCACAGGTTGATTCACACTTCCCCTGCTAAACCTTGGCTCCCAGCACGGTGTTTTTATAATGTAGAAAGGGGGAGGGTTGAGTGAGGGAGGGGTGGATATATCCCATAACATTACTGAAATGTCATATTAAGAAATGGCGTCAGCGGGCCGTCGACCTAATGCTCCTTATGCCCTCCCCGAGCCCGGTATCGGGCCGCGTAGAGGAACGTTGGAGATGTCCCTTTGCTAGGACAGCCCCCCCCCCCCCCCGGAGTCCGCTCGATCGGGTTCCGATTGGGGCCGCCCCAACCCAAAGACACCCGGTCGGTCCGACACTGTGTTTACACACAGTGCACACGATCGACTTAGTAGTTGGGATGGTAAAATTTACGTCCTCATATCTTCCCCCCACCCATCCCGGGGAGGCGTCGGACGCTCTTAAAGAGATTTTCTACAGAAGGTTTCCACCACGCAACTAGTTTGCGAAGTAGCTGGGACGAAACGGTTGCCTTAGAAGCAGCTTTCTCAGGGATGCGTATTCGGAATCATCGGCTAGAGGTTACCCACCTTCGCCTCTAGCATCATATCCATTAACGCTAACTTTACATAAGATTACTAGAGTCAGCTAATCAACACTGCATGTAACAAAACCTTGAAATGATGGGTCATGACTTTTTACAAAAAAATCCGTTCCACTGTACACAAATAATTCAACCTTTGAAACGGTGTGAATTCAGAATGATATTTCACATCAAACGGAATATGACAGTATTTAAAGCATATTTAAAAAAAAAATTGTTTCATTCATTCACTGTGACTATACTGGACATGCCACTTTTATGAAAATTGACCACAGAGCTTTCGCGTGTTGTCGTTTACTAGTTCTTTCCATTTATTTTCAAATAGGTGGATACGATTTCTTTACGCCGGGGTTGCCAACTGTCAATACATTTGCGGACAGTCCGCGAAATTTGACCTGAAATGAATCGTCCGCAGAAGTCCGGAAGATCTTTTTGGATGTACGTGAACAAATTGTGACACTGGACAAACGTCTTCTTGACGAGAGCTGAGAACCTCTGCGTTTCGAAGTTTTTCTTGCTGCCTTCAAACTGCTGTGATAATGATGAAGAGAAATTCTACACTGATGAGAACGCGATGCAGTAAAACAACACAGCAAAACGACCCACAAGCCTAATTGTCATTAAACACACTACATACATGTAGTGATATTTGTTGTACATTAAAAACAGTCACCAGGATATTGAAAAAAAAAAAAAGTTATTTGTTGTTGTATTTTTTTCCTTTCTCATCCTGATTTTATTTGTTAACATGTATCCTTAAAAAGATTGTGTTGGTCCGTAAAAATTGTCAGAATGTTTAATATTTGTCGGTAATGTGTATCTAAAAATTTTTAGACGACTTTCAAAGCAGATGCCTTCGTCGCATTTTGCAAATTCGATTGCAGGACAAATTGGCTAACACAGAGGCTTTGGAACGTGTCAAAATTTGCAGCATGTTCTCCTCTTTTAGCAACAAGCGCCCTGGCTGGTTAGGCAATGCAGGGAGAGTGGAGGGAGGCCGTAGTCCAAAGGATCTGCTGTATGAAGAGTTGGCAGGAGGGGACAAGACTTATTGGACGGCCGCGACTACAATTGCAAGGGCATTTGCAAAGGTAACTTGATGGAAGCCATTAACATAGAAATTAACGAATGGGAGATCATCGCTGACCACCGTTCCAGCTGGTGAACAGAAGTGTATGAGGGGGGCAAACAGGCAGAAGATTCGCGAAACAAAGCCCTTGCAACAAAAAGAGCATTACGGGAGAAAGACCAGGAGTCAAAGGTTCTCTGGCGAGAAGTGCAGCCGAGACTGCCATTCCAGGATTGTCCTTCTAAGCTATTTGATGAAGAGTTGAGATGTTTAAAAAAATGAGACAATTTAAAGAAAAAAAAAATCTATTATTACATCCTTATTCATCCCACTCTTATCTTTACAACCTCTTGTCTTTTACAGTCATAACCACATGTCGCTGGGGGGTGGGTTAAGTCGCCGGTGGGTAGGATATGTCGCCGGTGGGTAGGATATGTCGCTGGTGGGTAATATGTCGCTGGTGGGTAATATGTCGCTGGTGGGTAGGATATGTCGCTGGTTGGTAGGATATGTTGCTGGTGGGTAGGATATGTCGCTGGTGGGTCGGATATGTCGCTTGAAGGCAGGACAGGTAAGGAATTATGAAAAGTGAAATTATAAAACTTTTGAAAGTGACCAATATATATATATATTTTTAAAAATATACTCTATGGTATGTGGAAGCATTTGTTGGGAAATTTGAAGCTCAAGTGGTATAAGAAATCTTGTTAAAAATTAAAAAAGACAACACAATGAGGGTATCGGCTAAAAGCCTGATTCAGCCAACCCACTGCTTGTAGAATGCCTTGACGTCCTCCTCCCAGCACTCACCTCCATCATAAATTCTTCGATTCTCTCTGGCATATTCCCTCCCATTTTTAAACGGTCGATTGTCCTGCCCCTCCTAAAGAAACCCTCACTTGATCCAAACACACTCAAGAATTACCGCCCCGTCAGCAACCTCTCCTTTCTCTCAAAAATCATAGAAAAACTCATACTCTCTCAGCTCTCTGGCTATCTTCATTCTCGCAATCTCTATCCTTCCTCTCAGTCCGCCTACCGACTTGGTCATAGCACAGAAACAGCACTGGTCCGAGTCATGAGTGACCTCCTGCGCGCGATGGACGATGGCAAACTCTCTATTCTCACTCTGTTAGATCTCTCTGCTGCATTTGATACCATTGACCACCAGATTCTTCTTGACCGCCTTCATCTTTCTTTCGGACTTACTGGCTCAGCTTTAAACTGGTTTCAATCATATCTTTCTGACAGAACTCAAAAAGTCTCTATTTCCAACCGCTCTTCCAAACCTTCAGCCCTGTCTATTGGAGTTCCTCAAGGATCGGTCCTTGGGCCGGTCCTTTTCATCCTCTACACTAAACCTCTATCATCTCTCATTAGCCACCACTCAGTTTCCAGTCAATCCTTTGCTGATGACACTCAAATCAGTGACTCTTGCTTTCCTGATCAACTTGATGCCACAATCCTTCGCATACAGGAGTGCGTGGACGATGTAAAGCGTTGGATGACTTGCAACAAACTGAAGCTAAATGATGATAAAACGGAAATCCTTCTCATCCACTCTCAAAACAAACCTCTCCTTCCATTCGCTCCTTCTTCTATATCTATTGGCAACTCTGACATCACACTCTCTCCCTCTGCCAGAAACCTTGGAGTCACGCTTACAGACACCCTCTCCATGGACAAACATGTCACGAATATATGCAGATCAGCATATAACGAAATTAGAAAAATCAGCACCATTAGACACCTCCTCTCCTTTGATGCCACAAAAACTCTCGTCTCTTCACTCATTCTTTCAAAATTTGACTACTGTAACATTCTTCTCTCAGGCATTCCTCAACACCACATAGAAAAACTTCAGAAGGCACAGAACTCAGCATGCAGACTCATTTTTAAATTAAAGAAACATGACCACATTCAACCACACATGCGGCAACTCCACTGGCTTCCAATATCCTCTCGCATCAAATACAAGTCTTCCAATCTTTGCTTCAACTCGTTCACTGACCCTCACTTTCCTGTCTATCTCTCTGAACTGTTGCTTCCTTACATCCCCACAAGACAACTACGTTCTTCCATTGACAGTAGAACCCTCTCAATCCCAAGAACTAAAACTAAGACCATCGGTGAACGCTCCTTCTGCTTCCATGGGCCCACGTTCTGGAACCAGCTCCCCTTCCATATACGTCATAGTGAAACCTCGTCCATTTTCAAAAAGTCCCTTAAAACTCATCTGTTTAGGTCCGCCTATGACCTGTGATGCACCCTCCTTGCCCTACCTAATTTTCTGTTTCGGTTTAATCCTGAAGTGTCAAAGTGTCCTCTTTTTATAGCCATTTTCATTGTTTCTATAGAATAGTAGTTACTATCCTAGTGTCTCATTTGTATTTACTTAGTTTACATGTTTTAATAATTGTAAAGCGCTTAGAGCTTTATGATAAGCGCTATATAAAAATGCCTAAATAAATAAATAAATATAAAACGTTAAATGCAAGGGAAAAAAAAAAGATTGAAACATCCCCCCCCCCTCGACCCTCCCTCCACCACCCCCCTCGACCCTCCCTCCCCCACCCTCCCAAAAAAAAACCCAAATAAACTATCTTAGCTCATAGAAAGATGGCGGCAAGTTCAAGAGGCGTGACTGTCCATAAATGACGTCACCCAGCTTTTGTGACTGGCGTTTAGGGTTGGGGGTGGGGGGCGGGGGGTGGGCCATAAGGAAATAATTCTTCACTATGCATTATCAGGTTTACAAAAAAAAAAATCGAACTAAATTCGTGTCGTTATTTACGGACAGAAAAGCAAAACTTAAAATATCACGTGACAGAATAAAAGGAAGAACAATTTTCCAGGATTTAAATTGTAGGCCGGGGGGAAAAAAGAGAGGGTTGGGGGGGCGTGTGGGGAGTGGGGAGTGGGCGGTGACGAGTGTTGTATTCAAGTTCAAAAAAAAAAGATTGGGCCATTCTACTGCCTGATAAGTTTGTAGTGTTTTTTTTAAAAAAAAAAAAAAAAAACTCTGCCCCCCCCCCACTTAGCTACGCCTCTGGGAGCAGCAGCTGAACATAATATATATGCGAAGGGGCTTCGTTTATTAGACTCCAATAAACTAATTCGGTATGGTTTATGGTGAAAGAACAGCTGTTGGCCGGGGCCAGACCGAATGAGCTGAATTCTGGTTAATGATTATGACGAGATCAGCGGTCACGGTGGTGAGGGGGCGTCCGCACCAGCTGTGCGCGGCTGCGCAATGGGCCCACCAACTGTCCAGGACCTGTAAAGGGCAATGGGGTTTGTCATTTCTCACAAGGAAACGTCATAGCGCTGCTATTTTTCAGAACACCGGACAGATATTTCTTACACTTACACTCTTAAAAGAAGGTAAGCTAATCAGTGTGTTGCAGCGTATCGTTCGGACGATCGTTGTATCTAGAGTCACTGTTACAAGTGCCGTACGCTCAATGAAGTACCGTTTCACAAAATAGCAGTTAAAAAAAAAATTGTGTAGAATATTTCGTAAAATATAGCTGTAAACAAGTTTTGATTTACGTTAAGGGCCTCTTCCCTTACAGAGTAGTACTAAATTTTTTTTTTTACATTTTGTCCGAACCGAGTACCGGATGATTACATCAGTTCTATTTATAGATATCCACCATTCAGCCCTATTTTTTTTTTTTTTGTAAAGCACTAACCTGGTACCACCCGGTCTGCGACAGGCAATTCCGGAGCAGCCATGTTGAAGGATTCTATCCTCCCGGATGTCAGGTGAAGAGTCAGGAAGACGCACAGGATGATTACATCAGTTCTATTTATAGATATCCACCATTCAGCCCTATTTTTTTTTTTTTTTGTAAAGCACTAACCTGGTACCACCCGGTCTGCGACAGGCAATTCCGGAGCAGCCATGTTGAAGGATTCTATCCTCCCGGATGTCAGGTGAAGAGTCAGGAAGACGCACGCCGCTACGATGGCCACGACCACAGCAGCGCGGGCTACCTTGCTTTGAATCATGTCAGGTTGAGAACCGCCGTCCTCCTGGTGAGAGAGAGACATACAACGATGTCATTGGGGAGCTTAAAATTAATTTAAAAAACAAACAACAACAGACGATATAACTGAACAACACCACCGGGCTGCTTTGAGGTTTTATGCCAGTGTGAGAACCGCAGTCCAGCTTGGGGGTGGGGGGTGGGGGTGGGGTAGAGAAATACAACATATCATAGTGGAGCTTAAAAAAATATGAAGCAGATGATTTAAACACATAAAACAACGGCACGTTGCTTCGAAACACGTAATGTCCGAACCGCTGTCCTACTATTGTATTATAGACACCGATCACAGATAAATTCAAAGCGACAAAAAACGAAGCAGACGATATATATATATATATATATATATATATATATATATATATACTAAACTCTATATCTTTGAAACATGTCCAGGTGAGCAAACACCCTCCCCCCCATATTATAGACACAGATCACAGATAAATACAAAACGACAAAAAACAAAACAGACGATATATATATATATATATATATATATATATATATATATATACTAAACTCGATGGCTTTGAAACATGTCCAGGTGAGCAAACCCCCTCCCCCCCATCCTGCTGGTGACAGAGCATTTTAAGCACGTGTAAAAACAATTAATAAATATAATAATTATATTCTGCACTAGTTTGCCTTGACACATTTCTGGATAGAACCTCTCACCCGTCGGTGGTATAGAAAAGTAAGCACATGTTGACGGGGAGCTAAAAAAAAAGTTTGACTTAAAAATCATAAATAAACATTTTTGTTTGCCTTTCTGTAACTGTACGTGATTGATTCATTGTTAAGAAGCGGTCGTGTAAATAGATAAACTAATGGCGAAGACACGTTTCACATTTCCTTCATTTTCCCCTTTCAAAAATATATTTTATTGTTCACGGCACGCCCCTAATACGTCATCGACACGAAGCACATAGCAACAGCAACACAATTACTCTCCCCTAACCAAAACCATGCAAACCATTTAATAACATTCCCCCCCCCCCCCTTTTTTTTTTTTTTTTTTTTTTTTTTTTTGTTGAAAAAAATAGGAAAAACTGATTTCTTAGGAGTTGTGAGTGGTGGTGGGACTGCAAATTTGATCCAACATGTTGTCATTGGCAACGCGTCTGCGGTTTCAGCTCGATGCTATGAAGGGGGAAATGTGTCACTTATCTTCCCCTTGAAAAAACAAGGACAAACTGATTTTTCCGGGGGGGGGGGGGGGGG